GAAGAAATAGTTTGGAGGGTGCTTAATGATGACTGCCCGTTGTAATAGATCACCTCAGCAAACGCTACAACATCAGCAATAGGAGTAGTCTTCCCCTAGTGGTGTGTTTTGGGCATTCGGGCTTAACCCTCGACTTTGGCAATGCTCAAACGTGCACTTGGAGTTTTCCCCAACTCCAACGCCGGTTCCAATGCAGAGAGAGAGTCGATAAATAGATATAAGGAGCGCGACTCTCACGGGAGCGTCTTTATCGCGTAATCGTTTCGAATCCAATTGATCTATCAATATGTATAACGTCTTAACTTTTCAACCAGCTGCAGAAAAACAGCAGAAAACGCTTCAAAATACATCTACAAGTCAAATTTCAATATTGACATTTTACAACTGAGTATTGTTTTAGGTAGGTGACGACTGAAAAGCAAATATTCTAATAGTTTTAGTTATAACGTGTAGAAAATGAAACAAAACACTTAAAATTTAGTCAACTTAGCGCACCCTCTCAATTTGTATCTGTATAATTGAAAATACAGTTTAGTCTTTTCATTCGCCCGATGTTTCCCCACGGCTTTAGCAATTATAACAATTACGGTGCAACCTTTTCCGGGATTATATAATATTTGACTTCCTCGCACATCCGACGTCCGGGTCGAGGCTCCAGGTACTTTTATCTTAAACTGTACGCTAAGGGTGCGTAAAAAATTATGTTAGAAGCAAAATTATCACCCCTTTAGGCGTGATGTGTTTACATATGTGACCCACCCTTCATGGTAAAGTTTAGATAGTGGCAACATAATTTCAAGAGTATTTTCAAAGGTTTATTTGTTTTATGAATAATCAAAAACACTGCAGGAGTAAATTTCGAAAACAATTTGTCAAGAATTTGGTTTGGAGTGACAACGCACACAATAAAGGCAGTCCACGGCTGACATCACATTTGTTACAAAGGATTCGTTGACTTGTCGATTGCTTGTCTTGAAGACACTGCTCCTTGCGCATTCTGAGCGATCGCTGACGATTTTTTAAAGTCAAACCAGACACTTATTTCGTGCTTGTATGTTTTTTTCCGTTTTGCGGCGAAATTGTGAACTAATTGAGCTTTTTGCGTTCACAGCTTACTGTATGCAACCACACACACACATATATATAAATATATATAGATGAAGAGTTAATGAGCGCCGTTCTTGAATACGGCTACACGTGCAGTAGTGTAGCAAAAAGGGTTAATTAACGAAAACGCTCGTAAAGAATTAATCAACGAAAAGGGCATAACCATTGCGCAATCATATGGACTATACTACTTATTATCCAGGTACAATTTCGATGCGTTGCGTCCTGTGTTTATACGACGCCTCGGCATTAGTTAGCCCCCGGTTGGCGGCGGCTTCGTTATAAAGTCGGTCCTAAAATTTCTAATTGGACGCCCGCGCGGCGGCGGCCATAGTGTTTTTGTTACTCTTTACGCTTTAAAACGTTCGCGCCGGGGCGAAATGAGCATAATCTTTTCGAACCCCGGCGCGCAGCACGGCTTTGTGCTTATTTTCTCTTCGTTTCTCGTTAACACTGCCGCGCGGCGCCCTCGAGAATCGTTTCGGACGAGAAAATGGACGAATTTGTATGCAGAATTACGAAACGCAATTAGTCCAAAAGAAGAGCAGCGCCGAGTGAACGAGACAAGCAATCCTCGCGTGTAGCGAAGAGAGAAAAGTCTAGTATCATAAAAGAAATCCTCAACATGCATTGCTTCGGCATGATGCTTGCCTGCCGCCCCCGTTGAGAGTTCTCTTCCGTTCACTTTTCGGCCACGCGGCATCAGTCTATTTAGTTTACGCTGTTTTTAAAATTTTCCACCGTGGAGTTAATTAGAATACTGAATATTATTCACGTGGGAGATTATAGTTGTGCGCAAATATAAACCATAATTGAATTATTTTAATAAAATGCTGCCCGGTGACTGATTGGCAAATAAAAGTAAAACATACGACGGCGGGTAGCGCACCGAAAGGCAAAAGGGTGCAATTGAATTATTTACGAGCGTCATGTTGTGTGCAATGTTGGTTGCCAGCGTCGGCTAACGGTATAAAATAGGAAAAGTCGAAATCTAGGATAGTTATAGCATTGTAATACTCGTGGGTGCAGTTTGAACAAACCCGTTTTTAAAGCACCACCGAAAAGGATCTCGGAGGATCGCGATGCGGGAGCAAATAGTAGGCGATTGTCGGGAAAGCGAGCGCCCGTTTCGGTTTCCGGCCACGCCGCACTTTTGCTTTTCTTGTTCGCAAGCCGAACACCCACGGGTCCTCTGGTTTAATTGAATTTTTTATTATCGCATTATGAATAAAATATCAGCATCAGCGCGCCGCGATCTGCACCCAAACTCCATATACATGTTTACTTTTTTGTTGTTTCGGTAATTCAATTTTCCAATATTCAAATTTCACCTGAAATTTTTGAAATAAAATGAAACTGGAAAATGTGAGTGACTCAAGCTGGTGATGGTGATAACTATCGGTAATCAGTGAAATTAGATTTACAAATTCAAGCAGGCAGGTTAAGTTCAGCGCCGGTGATTTTAATCAAATGAAGAGTGCAGGCCTTTTTTGCGGCCAGGCCCTGAAATGGTAATTGAGGCATAAATGATGAGCTGGCGAAGAAGCCGTGCATGTCACTCAAATGTGAAATTCGCTGCTTAATTACCTATAGTTGATGAGGGTGGCCGTGGCATTACTTTGTGGCCCAAAAAAATTAAGTAAATTACGAAAAAATTGGAATATTACTGATATTTCATTCGTCACTTAATTAAATCTACGTTGGTTAAAGAAATTATTAAGTGTTTGTTTAAATAAGTAAATAAATAAGAATAAATTGATGATAATAGCAGTGTAGCGACATCTACAGAATGGAGATTCAACTGAATTCAACGGTAAACTCCCGCACACCTACTACTGCGCTACATACCAAAGAGAAAGGAGTAGAAACATATTACAGAGCTCTGTAAATTCAAGATTATAGAGTTCTTTAATTTGAAAGATAATAAACCTGCGTTACATAACGTTAGGTGACGCTACCTACTAAAAATTATTATTTACTTCGACCTAAACATTTAATTTTATCAAATTTCTTGCTTTTAACCATTTAATTATTAATAAAATCAAATTAAAAACCATTTACCACTAAAATACAGCATAAATACTTATTTCTCCTTTTTAAATTACTAATTTACTGGTATTACTACTTTTATCCAATTTGAAAACAACTAAAACAAGTACTACCCAAAAGAAGAAGTTACCAAACCACACACACGTAAGTACTTACTTACGTACAAACAAAAACAAGTCCGCAAGTCCGCAGAGGAAGAAGACTATTTGTTGCCCACTGGCCTGCCCATCCTCCACTTCACCTTGTTTCATTTTCACCGCGCAGCGGCAAACGTACCTACAAATGTGTCTGTAATAAGTACCACTATCCGCCGGAGTTCTTGAGCATGTGGTATGTGTGGCATGTGTACGCACATATAGCATTATAAGGTAGACCGACCTACCTCCGGCCCAACCACAACCACCTTTTAAAAGACCAGACCTTTTCGGTTGCTCGCGTGCGGCGCAACGAAGAAGAGGACAAGAAGAAATACTCGAAAGTGGCGCGGCGCCTCATTGGCTTCCATGACATCGAGTCGTCAATGTAACGTAACGATTAAATAGTTTCGTGTGTGATAAAAGTTAAAAATAGAAACTGTTTCTTAAAATAACGCATGTGGGTGTGTGTAGGAGAAGTATTCCATGGAAAAACAAAGTGTAAAGATGTAAATAATGTCAAAGTTCAATAAAACTATTACCTGTGCTTATTTCGGTGTGAATGTTGAGTGAAATGAAAGTTTTTACTAGTGCAGAAGATGTGAGAATGGAAATGAATCGTAAAATGCTTAAAATGGATGATTTTCAACAAAAAATGTAAGTAAAAACATTATTTTTAAATTAACATAGGTTATTTATATGTTCGGTACTTATATTGCAAGTCAAAGAATTGTTCTATTAAATAAAACTATTATTTTACTAATTATTTATATGTTCGGTACTTAAATGGCAAGTCAAAGCATTGTTTTCACAACATTTCATATTTTAAGCACTTAATTCGGTGTTTACTATTTATTTTTACTTATTTCGTGTAAACGTTGAGCAAAACGAGAGTTGTTACTAATACAGTAGATGTAAAAAAGAAAATTAATCTTAAAATGCTTAAAATTATACAAGTAAAAATTATAATTTCCTAGTAACATAGGTTTTCACTATGTTCGGTACTTATATCTTAAGTCAAAGCATTGATTTTGACAACATTTGATGTTTTGATGCCTTAAGCACTTAATTCAATTAGTCACACACAATCTATTGATATTTGAACAACGCACCAGACAAGAGTGCACAGTTCGTAATGAATGGACAATTGTGAATTAAGTACAGTTACTTATTCAACAATGCAAGTGATTTTATTATCATTGAAAGTGTGTGATTGTGTCTGGTCAGCAACAGTTCTCTCTTCGAGTGCATATTTTCAAACTTCAAACTTGTTGAGTATTAATTTATTTATAAACAATGTTGAAAGATTATCAACTTAATTATTCACATAATTTAAATTCTGGATTTTAATCAAATTCAATTAAAATATATTTCTGGTTTTATAATTGCAACATTAAGATTAAGATTAAGATAATCCAGTAATTTAACGGTAGAAATAAATGGTACTAATGAATGAATGCTAAAAATTTACTGTTTTTTTCTTTTCTTTTTTTCTTTATATTTTGTATTGTTAGAGTTGTTTTTATGCAACCAAATGTACATGAATAGCTTTTATTTGAATACCGTTGTTATAGCAACGCATTTTTTTCTAAAATGTGTTTGTAACTGGTGTAAAATGTAAATGTGCGTGACTTGGAATATTATATGCATATTGCTTTTATACTTTAACGCTACACATCGTGGCAATGTGGTAATGCTGGCCTTGCCTGGCCTGTGGCTGAGATGTTTCACGTTTCGCATGTTTCGCATGCGGTCGTCAGCTCCAGCACGCTGACGATGGTGGCAATGGTGGCAGTTTACGGTTTGACACGACGGCGGTCACCTCGTGAGTGCGGTTTATGTTTAAGTAACTTCAACGCAAACGACTTAAAATGTTACATTTAACTAATCTATCAAAACCAACGTGAAAGTGAAAATTTTTAACTTAAAATTGTTTTCTTAAAAAATTAGTGTGAATTAATTAATATGCGCATACTCAGTGGTATTTTCAGAATAGTGAGTAATAATTGGTTAGAAATACCAGTTATACCAGGTTACACCATTAATTATCATCGAATGCATTGCATTACCATTTAAACATAACATTTTGCTGAATGTTGCAAATTTTACAAATTATTTATCACTATTAGCATGGCTATAATTAATTGGAGAGCATTGGTGTTCAATTACTGCTTAAATTGAAACTTGTGACGTATTGATACTCGTAGAACAAACAGTTTAATAAATAATTAGTATTAATAAATTTATGAATTCAAATTCTTGAAGTAGTGTCACGCAAATATTTCCACTCATTGTTTTAAAACAGTTTAATCATTTCGCTGATGTAACCAGAAAGATATTGCAAAGAAATGACAACAATAAATATTTATACTCGCGTTTGAAATTAACTCGTATTGTGCGGTGTGTTAAGTAAGGTACGAGTGCATTTATTTGACTTCAAAGTGTTTGGAGGATATTTGTGTAGACTGTGACTGTGGCAGTTGGCTTGACAAACATCTGTTTTGCACAGTTCATAAATCCGATACTATGGGTTGAGGTTAAAAATATCAGGCGTGCGATGTGCCCATTTCGCACGTCTTATTGCATAAAAGTATCGGATTTCCAAGAAGTATTTTAAAACATTTAGAGTAGTATAAAGTCTTTAACTTCCGGTTAGTTTAATTTAATTTTTAAAATTTAATATTTTAATAGCATTGTTTGAGGTTTGAGGTTAGATATAAATATAGGCAACCAAACACACACATTATTTTTGTATAGTTTTATGATAGCTAATAATATTTTATAATTTAAAGTAAAATTTCGTAATAATTTTGCAATTTGCAATACATGAAAACATGTTATTGAATATTTAATAATCATTACTCATATTTAAGTTTATATCTTACGCGTGGCATATGACATAAGCAGTATAAACAAACAAAATTGAATATTGATTTTATCCTGTTTTATCTATCTCACAAGGTCGTTCACCTTTCTTTCGAAATTCTAACCTTATAACAAATAATTATTATCTCCTAGACGTTAACTCACTTAACTGTAACAAAAAACTTACGTAATTTAATTTATAGTTATTTTTAACTGATTTCGCAATAAAACTACATATTTGTGGAATAGAAGCAATAAAAACTTAAACCTGTCAAGTTCACAAGGTTGCCTATTGATTATTGACACAAACTCGTTAAACATCTTAAGACAACTTAACTTTTCCCACGTTTACGCGTGTTTTATCTAAGATATTAAAGCAAATTAAAATAAAATCAAACAAAAACACTTATAAAGTCATTCTTAACAATGTTATCATTAAAATATCAGTATAATTGAACATGTAATTGTAATCATAAGTGTTTACTACTGAATTACTACTGAACTCAATTTATTAATATTATTATGAGTTTAATTCAATGATTCTATTCTAGTTCAATAGTATTCTAATGAATAACACCGGAAAATCTTATCTTCAATATTTATCCAAGATATCCAACGTCTAACACACACACCATAAATATATTTACTATACATTGACTCTGCATCTCACTTCCCAGAATATTCTAACATCATTTTAATTTCACAATTAAATTCTTCTTAATCATCATTCCGAGCAACATAGTAACGTGATATCAAGAATTCAAACAAATTAAACTGTTTTAAAACCATTTCGCAGCAACAATTTGCAACATTCACGCTGTTATTGCGTTTAAATCGTACGCAATGTAAGCAAATTTATAATTCAGCGTCTCTGCTTACCGACACCCACCCACGCACCGCAATAAACGAAAGCAGCATTATCACAAAAGCCTATAAGAGGAATCTGGGCCTCCGATAACACACAACCGACTCACTCAACAGTGCTTATCTGATTAGAGATATACACATTAAGAAAGGAATACAAGGAGTTGCAACACGTTCGAATTTAGTGCGACGCCGACGCAGGAAAGATGCTGACTTAATGTTTAAATATATAACAAATTAAGAAATAAAAAATACAAACGTGACTTGGATCGTGATCATGACATCAACGTGGGTGTTTGTGAATGTGAATGGAAAATACCGTATTGTGCTGTAAATTTGTGAAATTAAGAAGTTTTTATTGTTTTTATTTTAAAAAAATGGGAATTTCTTCAAGTAGACTCAAAAAAACCAAGCGAAGTAAAAGTAGTAAGTATTCTACTGATGTTATGATGTATAAAACAGCGCCATCTATGTTTTAACCTGTTATTTGATTGAAAAATCACAAAAAAATCAATGATTTCCGATAACATGATATGCCTTATCAAATTATATCAACACGCAAGAAATCAACAAAATATCAGAACTAAACCACTAGTGTTCCTATAATATCACAATTCATAACTCATAATGGATGATTTTATATTTAACGGTAATACTATACTTTACACACTCAATTTAATTCATAATTTATATTTTCAGGTATATCCTGGAACCGTTTCGGTTCTTTGATCTCTCTACGCTCGAAAAATCGCCATAGCATCGCGATATCGACAAAAAGACACTCTGCAATCGAAGATACGACTAAATTCAGTGATTTAAGCCCCGCCCCTTCGATTTTGACAGTTGATACTTGCACAGAAGAAGTATTAACCACTGATGTGTCTAAAGAGTTGCCTAAGACTAACGAAAACGAAGTTAAAAAAGAGAATCCAGGACGAATACAACGTAAACATTTAGAAATTGACTTCTGGCTGAAAGCGTTAGACCTGCCGCAATATTGCGACGTGTTTAAAGATGTCTACGGCGTGGAGAATCTTATCGACTGCAGTGAATCGGATATCCGGCAATTTGGTGTGAAGATATCATCACATCGCGCTGCCATTATGACTAGCCTAACCGCACTGAGATCAAAATATTATGGTAGGCAACCAGTTACACAGAAAAATATTTTTGCTTATTTTGAATTAATTTTTTTTTCTTTTCAGATGATTCTTTTATTGTAAATAAACGTATGGCTTCCCTACGACACAGTGTAGCTGTCGATAGTCGTAGTATTATCCACGATGATACTAGGTGAGTATTTTATTGATCAATATTATATTCAATTCGTGGATACACGCTGCAATAATCGTATGCGTTTATGCTGATAATTCGTGGGCGTGAATGACGTGCAAACAATGATTGTGTGCTTTGTACTTATGTCCTGTGAGGTGCGCACAAACACAATGATGAATTATTGCGTGTGCATGATGGATTTGCATACAACGCATCACCAGCGAAAAAAATCGCTTTTTCTGCGTCAGAAATTCGCACGGAATAATTATGAGGATAATTAACGAGTTTTCTTCACGCACTACTTCATTGTGTTATCATTATCAGTCAATTGTAGACAAGAGAATCTATCTTGAAGATCGTTAAGTGCATAATTATGTAAAACAGTTTTAGAGTATAGAGTGTTGACACTGTGAGAGTGTTAATATTGACACCGATGAATAATGCAAACAAAAAATGCATTTTCTGGATTCGGGATTCATGTATGCAGAATTTCCATGTTTGAGGATCTCTGCATTCCGCAAAATCAAGTTCATAATTGAACTCGGTTCGCAATTACGTGCAATCGCGGAACTCGCAGTTATGAGTGGCTGCAAACGAGTGGTTTGCAATTAAATTCTAATTATACGTACACTCTCACGCTGATGGGATTACCGAACTAACGAAACTAATTTTAGATTGCGAAATATAAGGTAGATAGATTGGATTAGAGTGAAAAGTTACAAAAATATAGCTAAAGCTTGAAATTTTAATTATTTTTGTTGCTCATTTGCGTGGATTCATTACCAGGGTAATTAAAATTGTAGAAAACTAATTAGGGTATTAGTAGAAAGGAAATTTATTAAAGAGTAGATGTGTCAGAGGTGGAATTTCTAAGATATTCTGTGTTGAAGTTGTGGTAAAAAAAAGCGAAAAAAGTAAAAAGTTGAAAATGAGGAAATTTGTTTAGAAAATCATCGATAACTTGAAAATTCAGAGAGATAAAGATTTTATCTTTAGCTTAATGGATAGATCTCATCGAAAACTATAAAGTAGATTTCGTAAAAACCTGATTAATATAAATATTAATGTGTAATTAAAGAAAAAACGCAAAAAATCAACGAAAAACGCGAAAATTACCAAAAATTGATAAGAAAATCGAGAATATCTTGGAAACTAATAGAGATAAAGATTTTATTTTTCCTTTAATGGATAGATCTCAACGGAAAATGTAAAATGAAGTTACTAAGAACCCAAGAAATGTAATCATTAATTAGTAATTAAAGAAAAACGCAAAAATCAACGTAAAATCATGAAAATTACTTAAAACCAATAAGAAAATCACCGATAACTTGAAAACTAAAAGAGATAAAGATTTTATTTTTGTTTTAATGGGTAGATCTCATCGAATACTATAATATAGCCTTTTTAAAAACCTAATTAATCTAATAATTAATTAATAATTAACGAAAAACTAAAAAAAAATTGCATAAAATTAGAAATTTTCGTTTTGCACATGATAAAACCATCTATAACCTTAAAACTATACCACCTAACCTAGTTTATAAACTTTTCTCTCATCTAATCCCACCCTGTGAAACCAGCGGTAACCCAAACGTCTGATTTCATTCTTTTTTACACTCACACCCCACACTTTTTTCTACTCTTTACTATTTGCTCCCTCACTTCGTTCCTCTACTACATTTACTTCAAACCGTGAACGTACGCTGCATCATGTGCGCCTCATGTGCTCGCGTGCTCATCCCGGTCGTATATCGTTGGTATCGAACGCCGGAACGGATACACAACCACCAAAAAGGGCGCGCGATGCACAGGTCTGCCCGAGGGCGGCTGCGCGCACCCCGTGGATCAATATTGCGCGTGCACACCGTGTGGGCAAGGTCCGCCGAACAACACACACAGCGCTGAGCACCGAGCGTAGTGGGGGCGGTGTGCGCCCCTACGTTCGATTCCCGCGCCCTTTTGCCGATGCGATTCACGATACTTCTGCGCGCGGCCCAGCCGTACGGGCACATAGTGTACTCCAACATTACTGACATTGCGTACAACTAGACTCATCATCATCGTGCTACGGCCCGCATTGTTCCGGTTCCACAGTGAAACAAACAACGAACAATTCATTAAATCTTTAAAATTTGAAATAAAACGTTATATAACGTCGTAAACACACAAAAAACTCAAAAAATAAACAAAACAAAGCATAAAATTAAAATTTAAAAAAATTCTTGTATGTTACATACATTTAATGAGTAAATTTATATTAATTAAGATCGTCGACCGCGTCGAGTGTCGTTACAATTAATTTAGAAAATTGTGCCGATGGAATGACGCCTCGGCGGAGCTCGGAAAGTCTTCAGTGTTAGACGCGAGTTTCTCGCGTAATGGACTCGTATATTAGTGCACAAATGTGATTGCGAAGCGAATAGGAATAATCAACGCCATCCGTCCAATTACTGCCAATAGATTTCGAAATCATAAAGACATTCATGTTAGAAAATGACGGAGAACACTCGCATGGTAAGTTGTACGTTAAATGAATTAACAATGATCGATAACTGATGAAATCTTCAAGTCGAGTAAAATTTGCATGCGCTAAACCGGAAATTATTAACTACTCTGATCGTAAATGTGGATTACAGATAGTTAACTTATATAAATACATAACTGGTTTCAATTTTTTCGCATTTTTTGAGTTTTTTTGAGAAAAATTATTTTTTTTGTTGTTTTTACTTAAGTTAAGTAATATTATGATGAATTGACACGCAATTTAATATTTTACAACCACTAGAATATAAAAATATAGTTGATTAAATATTCCGCCGGTTGAAAAACGATTTTATCGCCAATAAAAACACGAAAAGCGCGCATATAAATGAACCACTCGAACCGCGAAACGATCCGGCGCTTCTTCAGCATTTTCATTTGCACATGGCGACAGGGCACATTCAATATACGTCCTGCTGGAACCCGAGAACCCTGGATTTATCTCCGTCGAGGAGCTGAGTGCTCGAGCACGGCGCATATTTCGCTCGGTTGCGTTTTAGCAATTTCACAATTCACGAAATTCGCCGGCCTTTTGTATATGATTTTCATACATTATATTATAAAACGAAGCGAAGGCCATATTCGGAGTAACAATCAATTTAGATAAATATAAGTCTAGCACAGAAAAATACCTATAACCTTATTCCATTGTAATATAAACGATATTAAAGGTAACAAAAGCGGCGCGCGATAAGTGAACACGGCGAAGAATTTTAATAAAACTTTCAGATAACAAATGAAAATGCTTTCCACCTCCTGCCTGCCTGTCTGACTCTTTCCACTTTTATATTCAAACCGTTACACCGAATATTTTATATATGAATTTATGTTGAAACTCGATTAATTTTTGATTTATTCGCATTATTAATTATTAACTCGATTATTTCTGGTTGCTGGCGTGTGGAGCAATTACCAAAATACACGAAAACACCCTAAAAGTTTCATATTGAATTTGGTGCGTTGACGTAGAAGATAAATTTGCGCAATTTCACCCTTTTAAGCAATTTAGCGGCGCAAAAATCGACCAAAAAACGCGCTCAATCAATTACTGGCCAGTGATGGTGTAAATTTTACGTTGAACTTGATGAGTCATCGCTCAATTCGGGGATTAACAACCAGGCAAGGGCGCAAAAAAGATTCGGAGGGTAATTGATTTTGCGTTGTCTTCGTTCATCATCGTAAATGTCATCACCCGGACAAAAATCACTACCAAGGGAACGAAAAAATGTCTTATTAGCTCCATCTAGGATATGTTTTTGCAAAAAAATCATTTTTTCTTAGTTTTTGCAAAGAAAAAAAGGAAAAACTGCAATTTTTCTCATTTTTTGCAAAGAAAAAAGGGAAAATTTGTAATTTTTCAATTTTTTTTGTAAAAAATAAATAAAAAACTAATTTTTTCACATTTTTACAAAGGAAAAAAGAAAAATTACGTTTTTGTAAAAAAATTTACCAAAAAAAGAAGAAAAATTGCAATTTTTAGCAAAAAAACATTCCAAAATGTTGATTCCCTTCGTTATCCACCCTTAATTAACCCAATAGACATCCCAGCATGAAATAACCTCCTAATCCCCAACTGGAAACAATGTGTGCGATGTTAGAAGATTAGAAAACTAAGAAAGAGTGTGAAGTGATAAAACGAGCCAAAGTATCCCAAAGCCCTAAGAACACCGGATCATAAATGAAGAGTCCTCCAAGACACACGACCACTTCACGCAGCTTTTACTACCCACTCGTTCTTGCACCGTAGAACACCGAAGGTGTGATGGCGCGAACTTTAATTGCATAATCAATATCAAAAGGCCGGTGTGCCGGCATGTGGGAAAGTCGCGCACGCTGCGCGATTATTACGATATATCGCTGGGGAATGAATGGACGCCGGAGCAAATTGCAAAGCAATTGCACACAACCGGAAGGTCACTACTTGTTACTACTGGTCGCTGTTCACAGTTATGGTTAACGCGGATCCGATTCGATGAAAATCTAATTACCGTTTGCTTTGTTTCAGGTCTGATTTGCACACAGTGACGGATTCAACGCGCAGTAAAAGTTGTAACAACTTCCTCATGGTAAGCAGAGAACAAATATTTTGTTTGAATGAGTAAAATTTTAATTTTACATTTCCGGTTTGATAAAAACTAAATTAAATGAGATTAGTGTGTTTTATAAGTATGAGTAATCCTCCTAAATGTTTTTGCATGTTTATTTTATGAATCTGTCGCGGAATATCTGCAAAAAACGTTTTTTTCCGGTTTTTGTTTGCATAGCGAATGTTTTGCTTGTTCGACAAAAAGAAAACACAGACAAGCCATTGGGGAAATGCGCATAGAACCTTTGCGAAATAAAACCATTTACTTTTCCGTTTTTCCGGTTTTCCTTTTTCGTCTTTAGTTCTTTTGCGGTGGAAGACTTACATGAATATGTCTTATACATTCATGAAGCTTTCCTACAAATTTCCCGGAATGAATAATGCAAGTGACGTATACAAGTGACGATTTACTTCCGGTTTTCCGGAAAAAATATAAATATCACACCTGGATGATATTACTAAAATAATATTAACCCAAATTATGTTTATTATTTTAGGAGCCTTGCGCAGACCCCACAATGGACCAACTGGCCCTAAAAAAGGCCCTGGAATGGGAGTTGTCCCTGGACAACCGGGACCTCCGCTCCCACGCTTGGTACCACGGCGCAATCCCCCGCGCGCGCGCTGAAGAAATCGTCCGCGACGAGGGCTGCTTCCTCGTACGTGACTGCACCTCCCAACCCGGTAACTACGTCCTCACCTGCCGGAAGAATCAACAGGCCCTACACTTTGTCATCACCCGTCAAATCCTGCAACCTGACACCGTCTACGAACGCGTGCAGTATCAATTCGAAGACGACCCGTTCGACACCGTTGCTGATTTGATCACCTCCTATGTGGGTTCCGGAAGACCCATAACCAGCTTATCCGGCGCGAGGATATCCACGCCTGTCAATCGAATGTATCCGTTATCTTTCTACGCCTCGAAATATCCATCGGTGATGTATCAGAGTCGATTATCATCACCGGCGACTACCCCAATGGGTTCCATTCGATACCCTATGCAGGTATTCAAACAATCCAGCCCTACGAGGTATTCCCGAGATGGTGCACCACGTCTACCTTCGAAGAAACAACGTTCGCAGTCGTTGACACCCTCGGAGGTGCAACGCATGGCCGCGGAGAAGTGTAACAGTGCTGATGGGGTCATCCAACCACCGATGATGACCCGCTCGGCTGGTAGTGATGCAATTTTGCTCAATTCACGCTTTTCATCACAATCTCTACCGAGAAACTCTACATCACGACTTTCTATATCTCCTAGTAGTGTAACCCTCGGACGTAATACAAAAATCAACAGGGTCATCAGTGATAATTCTCTATCGGAGGATGAAACCCTTCCGGATTCACCCCCGCCGAAACCAGCGAGGATCCCATATTCGGATGGAACTGATGCAAAAATCGGAAGTCTACAACGCGTCACCTCTTATCACGCGTCCGGATCCGACTCCGGAAACGGTTCCGGTGACTCGGCTGTCAGCTCAGCGGCAGGTGATCCAATCGAAGCTAGTCATAGGAATTCCGGTGTTGTTATCAAGAACCCCCGGTATAATATGAACACCTCCGAGTCTTCCACAACGTTGAAAAACTTTGACTTTGATTATGTCAGCGCCGAGGAGAAATTGATGCAGATGGAGATGCCGGAAGTGGATTGTTCGAGCAGATTTGACTTGGACAACTTCCAGACGATTCTGTTACCAATGACAGAGAATAAACCATTGGACGGGCAAGCGCTTAAAGGTATCAAGCTCATATTGCGAGAGTCAGGCTCGAAAATACTGGCGAATCATCTTTCACGAGTGGATTTTGATTTGATTTACGGGTTTACTACCAGTAGTAAACTTGGAAGTGGGTTAGAATTGTGTACATTACCGCATGGACAACAGTTGAGGTTAGATTTGATCGAGAGGTAAGTTTTACAAAACTTTAAATAGATTTGTTTTGAGAAAATTTCTTGTTTCAGGACGGAATGTTTGAAACTTTTGGTCGCCATTACTATATTGACTTGTAACGATGAAGACGAACGAGCAGAGACTTTGAATAAATGGATCGAGGTTGCGATTGATACCAAAACAGCTCTTGGGAATTTGTATGGATTTTGTGGTATTATGTTAGGGTTATGTTTACCACAGGTAATATTTTCTTTCTAAAACGCGTATTTTGATGATTTTTAAACGTTTTCTTTTAGATTGAACGACTTAATTCAACCTGGTATACCCTCCGCCAGAAATACACAGACTCTGCATTCAATTTCGAAGCGAAACTACGCCCGATGCTCAAAAGTATGAACAGTTGCTCAAATCCCCAGGCACCGAACACGACAATTCCACATTTGTTACCGTTTATACTACTAATGGAACGAAACCTCGACGATTTCATCAATCCAATCAACGAACAAAAAAGCCTTGCTATGAACTGCCTCGGGCTTTGGGAGTCAAACACCCAGGACTTCGGTTTGTCCACACTTTTTGCGCACATGGACGCCGCCCGGAAATTTACAAGCAGCAGCGCAACTTTTCAGCGAAATGCTGATATTGTTTTAAGTGAGGCTCGCATGGAGGAACTCACAACTGATATGTTTCGTACGGAGTTTCAGCTGAAATTCTTATGGGGCAGTCGGGGTGCATACGCGGTTTCTTATGATCGCCACGCGAAATTCGAACAGGTGCTCAATGTCATGGCCGAAAAGTATTGCAACAATATTAAGGAAGAATCTGAGGTTTAAATGACTAATGAGAATATTTTGAGCAGTAAGTTTCTACAATTGCAAAAAAACACACGGGGCCAAACTAGTATAATACACAGCGCACTTTTTATAAAGCAAAAAAATGCAAGAAAAGACCTCAAGAATTCAACACCAAGAAAACTTACTGCTGAGATGAATTCGATTATAACCTAACTTTGTACGTTTGGTGTGAACGGTTGCACAACCACACTCGAAACCAAATTCCTATTATTATGCAGCGCATTTAACTTAAACACTAATGTACATTGTAACTGTCTGCAACACTAGTTGAATTATTGAAGAGTGTAATCGCTACTAATCAGTTTACATTCGCGTTCTTCACGTTTTGCTTGCCGCGAATTGATTTCCATTGACAATACAAACTTAAAAGACTGCCAAATATTTACTTATATAAAGTATGATTCGATATTGTTTCTATTTATGATTTGCCTGCGCTTTCTTTGTTATTTAGTTGATATTCTGTTATTATAAGTATTCATTTTCTAATCGGTGCAATACGCATGCTATTTATGTATAACATTTTCGTGATATTTATATACAAATGTTTTTGGTGTGAATATAACCCGCAAATAATAATAAACTGTAATAATTTGTACATATACGAATAATAGTTATATAGATTTTGTAAAGATTTTTCTTGCTAGTATCATGTACGAGAAATATTCGAACGCCGTGTGTACTGAGGAAGAAAAATGAAAAGTTAAATGAATTTAGTGTAATAATAATGAAATCAAACGTAGAGGAATGGCGAGCAGTGTTGGTTATGTTGGTTAAACGGCAATGTATCGCATACTTGATGGTAAATTATTATAAACTAGGAACGTTGCTAGTATACTATGTATCAATCACACTAATAATGACTAAAAAAACTTGTAATATATATATATATACCTCTATACATACACAATATACGAATATACGATACTGTAGCAATGATGATTCAAATATTTATCATAGTTTCAAGTCTGTGTTACACAGTGTGATTCCTATAATATTATATTTACCAATATTAATATGAATATAATAAATATCCATTGATGCATTCATAATTCAGTTTTCTCGATATATGAATTTCGATTATCTCGGAGATTAAATAAGATAGAAAGGAACGAATTGAAGATTCTCAATCTACGGAAAATTCTTTATACGATAGAAAATTGAAATCTAAGAGATGAAATTTTAATTTCTAAGAAAAAATTGGCGACGATTTTCGATCGTGAATATCTTCTAAACTAAAAGAGGTAGCAACCAGCGGAAAGTAGATTATGATAGATTAGATCATTCTCTATTAGCTAGAGATTTAAAATTATTTAATTTCAAAGAGTAAAAGGTCGAAAAATGCGACTAAAAGTGCTAAAAAGTCACATTTTTCAATTTTTGACCATTTTCTTCAATTGCGAATATCTCGTAAACTAAAAGAGATAGGAAGGCCAAATCGTAGATTCTTAATCTACGAAACATTCTCTACAAGATAGGCTAGTTAAAATCGAAATCTAAGAGATGAAATTTTCACTCTTAAGAAAAAAATGGGCAAGGGGGGGTGCTTGATTCTTTTTTTCGACGATTTTCAATAGCGAATATCTTCTAAACTAGAAGAGATAGCAACCGGCGGAAAGTAGATTATGAAAGAATGAATAATTCTCTATCAGATATTAATTTAAAATTATTTAATTTCATAGAGTAAAAGGTCAAAAAATGCGACTAAAAGTGCTAAAAAGTGACATTTTTCAATTTTTGCCAATTTTCTTCAATTGTGAATATCTCGTAAACTAAAAGAGATAGGAAGGCCAAATCGTAAATTCTTAATCTACGAAACATTCTCTACAAGATAGGTTAGTTAAAATCGAAATCTAAGAGATAAAATTTTCACACTTAAGAAAAAAATGGGCAGGGGGTGCTTGATACTTTTTTTCGACGGGTTTCGATTGCGAATATCTCCTAAACTAAAAGAGATACCAACGAGCAGAAAGTAGATTATGAAAGAATGAATAATTCTCTGTCAGATATTAATTTTAAATGATTTAATTTCAAAGCGTAAAAGGTCGAAAAATGCGACTAAAAGTGCAAAAAAGTGACATTTTTCAATTTTTGCCAATTTTCTTCAATTGTGAATATCTCGTAAACTAAAAGAGATAGAAAGCTCAAATCGCAGACTCTTAACCTACGGAACGTTCTCTACAAGATAGGCTAGATAAAATCGAAATCTAAGAGATGAAATTTTGAGTCTTAAGAAAAAATGTGCAAATGTGCTTGACACTATTTTTCGACGAGTTTCGATAGCGAATATCTTCTAAACTAAAAGATTGGAAAATTCTCTATCAGACGGAAATTTAAAATAATTTAATTTCTTGGAGTAAAATACGACGCTATACCGACGATTGTATGCCCGTGCATATGTTGGCGCATAAGAGATACAAGACAGCCAGTTTGGTGTCAGGTGTACTCACTACTTAAGGCGTTGATATTATAATACAATCTTGAGTCCAAACCGCTGGTAGGATGCTTGAAGTCCGTTGAGGTCCCGTACAAACCCTCATGGAATTGGAATTATTTTTAACGCGCACTTTAAAAGTGCAATACGGATTACGCGATACTTTCGGATTTTTTATCGTGTCCCGCACTCGATTTGTCGAATATTCGGATACATTTTTATAAACACCGCGTACTTTCCCTAACAGGTGAAAGGAGACAAGGCACGACCCTCCTTCGGTAACTAATTGATCGAGATTCTATAAAATGGTTAAAATAGTCAACCGCGTCGCGACCCGCACTCGATGAGTATTTCGGTACACCTCTCCAGGTATCTCACGAATAACGTTTATCACTTATACCTGTGAATAAAAACAATTATTAACAAGAATGTGTAAGGAGGATTGGGTGATTATTCTGAACTACAAAAACTTTTAAAAGAATAAACTAGAACAGCTTAATTAGAAAAATATTTGAAAACAAATAAAGAAAAGCAAGAAATGTTTTAAATTTTGTAGGATTGTTAAACTTAAACAGGATAAGTCTTTTAATTAATTTATAAAATGACCTTGAATTGAATAATTTAAAAAATATGAAGAGGTAATTAGTTAAAACTGGAAGGTGTGAGGTATTAGTAAACATAAAAAGTACATAAACCGATAACGAACGCGCCCGAATTACAAAAATGCCCAAATATATCGAATATGTACCTGAAAGACAAGCAGAAAGAACAATTAGTAACAGAAAATTTAAAAATAATTAGAAACATTGTAAAAACTTTGCAGCAATGTTCAAACCTGTTCCCATTCTTGGGAAAGTATGGCTAATCTTGTGAGTGGACATCTTGTAAGTGACTTTGGAAAGTCATCTGGGAACAGCCACAAAATTTAAGAACAAAGAGAAATAATAGCAAGAACAGTAAATACTCAGTATACACTCCTGCGATGGAAAACCGAAACGTTTTCTAGAAGCCGCATGGAAACTCGAACGCAAAGAACATCATCAGCGTCAACTATGTAGCATGATGTACTAGCAGAAACTAAAATAAAACAGAAATTGCAATGTAATATAAACTAAAGAATAAATAACAGATAAGAAATTAAACGAAATCAAAATAAAATCGTGTTATCAGCAGTGCCGAATAGTGTTGGAATGTTGGAATGTTGAAATCTTAACATCAAAACAACAATATGGCGTCTCTTTGCGTTAGCAGTGCTGTAAAATTGGCACTCTACTGCCGCAAAGTGAACGTTTGAAACATCTGAAAAGCAGACAAACAACTGATAACTTCGCTGCGCACACCTCGCGAAGGTGAAACTGCGGTCACCCCATACCTCATGTCGATTGCACAATAAAATTACATCCGAATATTCCAATTAGACGCAATGCAAGTATAAGATTTCTTCTTCATGATGTTGCAACTTGGTGGTTGCGAACTTGAAAACGGCGTTTGAATCGCGGCCATACTGCAAAAACGCGTTTAACGCCGTCAAAAACAATGAAGCGTTCAAATTTTACGAATTACAGGTTTAATACAAAGGCGCAAATGAAAAGACTGCAAGAAACTTACTCATGACTGCCTCGAGGAATGATTTTCACTTGTTTGTAAGAGTTTTCTACTGATTTGATAAATTTTCAGCAATTTTATTAACGGAGCTGTAACTGCAGACAATGTCGCGCACTGAATGATGCTGCTGAGCGTTGCGAAAGAATACGTTACAACTGTTGCGCTGCGCCGCTTCCTGCGCCGGACTTGCGCACAAAAAGTTTGGCGATGAGGTGATGTTGATAAACCCGAAAACAAAAACAAGCAAACAATACACGTATTTTATATTACTTTAAGATCGCATATTGCATGACATGATTGCATTCGAAGATCACTTGGAATGTTAAGAGATAGTGTGAGTTGTTATTTTATTCTGCGCGACTCTCCGCCGTCTCACCCCGCAACCCGAAGTGCGCATACGACAATCGGGTAGTAGGTATCAGCATGAGAGAACGTTGATAAACCGATATACACAGAAATAAAGAATTTGAATGTTTAATTTGATTTACTTGAAATATTCAACGTAAATAATAGATTTATTAATTGCAGTATTAAATAATTATTTCATTTATTAATATTCTTAGGAATTGTTGTCGCTACTATCCTAAAACTATTTTAAAAGTTTTGAAAAATAAAATATTGACATTCAAAACTTTGTGGTGTACTGAGCAATTCTTTGCAAAGAACAAAACTAAACATTTGAGTTGTATCCACATGTACTGAATTAAATAAAATAGGAAGAAAACATATCCGCAATACAATTTACACGAACACAGGTGCTCATCACTCACACAAACAAATAAAAATTTAATGCAAATAACAGCCCCATAGTGCCATCCAGTATTTATTTACGAAGCATAATATGCAACGCCACATAAAGCTATTTACTCACAACAGGTAATTTGTTTGGGTGTGGTAGAAAAGGTTGCACCTGTAGCAGTGCGATTTACCTGCACTTAAACCGTGTTCGTGTGAAGCGCACACAATTCACATATACACGGAATAAACCACAAAATGCAAATGCCACACCCGTATGTAAGAAATGACAGATTTTGATTAATAACTCTACACTTCTCTGCTGGAGGACGCCATTTTCAATAGCGAATATATTTTAAACTAAAACAGATAGCAACCGGCGGAAAGTAGATTAGGAAAGATTGGATCATTTTCTATTAGCTAGGGATTTAAAATTATGTAATTTCAAAGAGTAAAGGGTCGAAAATTGCCACTAAAAGTGCTAAAAAGTGACATTTTTCAATTTTTGACCATTTTCTTCAAATGTGAATATCTCGTAAACTAAAAGAGATAGGAAGACCAAATCGCAGATTCTTGATCTACGAAAAATGCTCTACAAGATAGGCTAGTTAAAATCAAAATCTAAGAGATGAAATTTTCACTTTTAAGAAAAAAATGGGCAAGGGGGGGTGCTTGATTGTTTTTTTCGACGATTTTCAATAGCGAATATCTTCTAAACTAAAAGACATAGCAACCTGCGGAAAGTAGATTATGAAAGATTGGATCATTCTCTATTAGCTGTAGATTTAAAATTATTTAATTTCAAAGAGTAAAAGGTCGAAAAATGCGACTAAAAGTGCTAAAAAGTGACATTTTTCAATTTTTGACCATTTTCTTCAAATGTGAATATCTCGTAAACTAAAAGAGATAGGAAGGCCAAATCGTAGATTCTCAATCTACGGAACATTCTCTACAAGATAGGCTAGTTAAAATCAAAATCTATGAGATGAAATTTTCACTGTTAAGAAAAAAATGGGCAAGGGGGGGTGCTTGATACTTTTTTTGACGATTTTCGATCGCGAATATCTTCTAAACTAAAAGAGATAGCAACCAGCGGAAAGTAGATTATGATAGATTAGGTCATTCTCTATTAGCTAGGGATTTAAAATTATTTAATTTCAAAGAGTAAAGGGTCGAAAAATGCGACTAAAAGTGCGAAAAAGTGACATTTTTCAATTTTTGACCATTTTTTTCAAATGCGAATATCTCGTAAACTAAAAGAGATAGGAAGGCCAAATCGTAGATTCTTAATCTACGAAAAATGCTCTACAAGATAGGCTAGTTAAAATCGAAATCTAAGAGATGAAATTTTCACTCTTAAGAAAAAAATGGGCAAGGGGGGGTTGATTCTTTTTTTTCGATGATTTTCAATAGCGAATATCTTCTAAACTAAAAGAGATAGCAACCAGCGGAAAGTAGATTATGATAGATTGGATCATTCTCTATTAGCTAGGGATTTAAAATTATTTAATTTCAAAGAGTAAAGGGTCGAAAAATGCGACTAAAAGTGCTAAAAAGTGACATTTTTCAATTTTTGACCATTTTCTTCAAATGCGAATATCTCGTAAACTAAAAGAGATAGGAAGGCCAAATCGTAGATTCTTAATCTACGAAACATTCTCTACAAGATAGGCTAGTTAAAATCACATCAAAGTTTCGCAGTTTTTCTTAATAATGAGAAAATTAATAAACACCAACACCAAGTTGTTCACATTTCAACATTATACGGAGTTTATCGTTAAAACGACGCTACGTTGTATTCTTTAACACATTTATTGAAATGCTGTTTACTTAACAAGACATTAACTTATTTTATTTTCATTTGCAATCTTACTGACACTATTAAAAATAGCCTCATGAACATGTTTCGGAATTCTCACTCTTTTTCTATTTTTATGTGGCTTATTACTTACAACCTTACTACTATTACCAACACTACTGTTTGGCTTAACAACTTCCTTCTTCTTTTTGAGACAAGAAAGTGGATTGGGTCCTTTTTTCTTTCTTTTCTTCTTAGGTATGTTACTCTCCACTGGAATACCTACATCCATTTTCATCTTGTCAATTTTCTGCTTCTCTTCATCAGTGATTCCACATTGCTTTGACTGTACATAGTTTTTAGATGCTTGCGAAGGCTGGTCAAGCATTGGTGCCTTGGAAACTAAAAATAATAAAGGTACACCTGGAATAGTTCTTAGTTTTTGTTGCAAATCTCTGTCTTGAGTGGCTACAATGTAGTGCTTTTCATTGGTTGCACCAATCATTGATTGGAAACATTTTGATGCAGGTACTGGTTTGCCTTCATGACCACATTTATGAAGAGAATATTGTTTTAAGATTACTAGCGCTCCAGATACTTTGGGTCCCAGTTGTTCTGCTTCAATAAGTGCACATTGAGTTGTCAACAGTTTTAATTCACCTTGCAGGTAAGCTGGGATGTTGTCAGCGATGTTTACTTGATTCTAGTGTTTAGAATAATATTATAAATGTTCATTTTGTAATAGATTTCAATTTACTTACATTTAAGGCAGCAAGGCAGAAAGTTCCATCAATTAATAGTTGATACGGTTGTCTGAAGCCAAAATTATTGTTGTAGAAGTTGAGACGACGATTTACCTTCTTATATCTTTTGATTTTCATTGTTGCTGTGTATTATTAACAGTTTTAGAAGTAATTTTATTAATTATTTTGGTACGCACGTTGTGAGGAAATCTTAAGGTTACTTTTGTAAACGTAGGCAACTTTTATAACACAACTTGTAATATTTTATTTATTTACATAACTTTTTACAACAAATTAATGTTTAAAAGCATGTTAAACACAATAATTTAGGTGAAAAACATAGAAACACACATTATATAACTGAAAATGATGAAATATCTATAAAAGTGAACTTATTTTCGTTTATTTTTGTTACCTTTGTGAAAAAAAAACAAAGTATTTGCCTTAAATCTAAATAAATACACATCAAATCATCTCCACTGTTAATTCTCAAGAAAAGAAACAAAATCAGTGAGTTTATACAACTGATCCTCACTGGAAATATGCCCACTGGGCACCATAGAGCCCCTAATAGGATTCACAATTTTTGTATTTGCATCATACTGCCAACCCTTCTCCACACAAGCACCTGCTGCCACTTCAGGAGTTAATCCTGTCATCAGTGCCACAGTATCCAAAGTAATAGATGAGTATGCATGTGAAATGAGATCAACAGCCCTCAGTCTCACCTTTTCCTGCACCATTTTCATAATATCCACTACAGTCTCAGACCAATTGACTGAATTCAAAGCATTGTACACTAATGAGAATTCTCTCTTCCACATGTATTGCCCAACAGCCCAGATTTGTCCTAGTTCAGGTGTGGATGTTTTTACACTTGGAGGAATCCTCTTCCATAAATATTTAGCATTACAACTGAAATTATCAAGAAAAATTGGTGTTTTTAGTCAATAAAATTGATTGTAGGCTAGATATACATACAGATCATTTTGATAGAGGTAAATAGCTAACAGTTTCTCATATGTTTGAGGAGTAGCACCATTAGAAGCCTAAAATAACATTGTTTTAATTAATTAATATATAAATCTTGGAGGTTAAGCAGTGATTTATTTACCTCCAGTTCTTGTTTCTCTAGCTCATCCACCAATTTATCTATTTGTTCGGGCGTCATTATTGTTAATTTACTAATAGCTACGTAATTATTAAGCTATAAGCTGTTTTAACAACAGGATGAAAACAGTCTAATAGCAGGATTTCAAGCGCTCAAGCTGCTTGAAGATGTTTAAGATGATTGAACCATTGTTATAGACAACCATACTTACATTAACAAAATTATAGTAAAATTTACTATCTAACAGTAATAAAACATTAATATATTTGTTATAATGTGTATTTATTAATATATTTTGTGTTCTAATAATTCAATATTGTTTTAATTCAAATAAAATAAATAAATGTGTTTATTAGTTCTAGTAAATTCCGGTAGATGGCGCAGCGACCTCCAAAATGCATCAAAGTATCTTTTTGTTTTTACACCTCATTCATTGACCGTTAGTTGTTTGTTATTGATGCAAATTAGTGTTTCATGCAACCTTGAGGTGAAATATTCATGCAGACAACTACGAACAACAAGAAACAACAGTGGTAAGTTGTATTTTACACTCCTAAATCACTCTAGTGATTGATTTCACTATATTCTATTGCAAAACACAAAAAGAACTTTTTTCCCGCGCGATTATGAAACATTAGCGTAAAATATCCGTTGGATGAGTCGTCCGGCGAGGTTGAGATTAGCTTTCGCACCTTTTCCACCTTTCGCACCTGGGCGAACTGATCTAGTAGGCGCGTGACACGCGCCAAAAACATCTTTATGTGCTTTATGTTCGCCGTCGCCAGCTGGTGAGCCCTTAAACAGCTCTCGAAATATGTGTGTGCTGGTATGGCGCGTGTGCCCAACCACCGGTGTGCCGTACCGTTGGCCTGTTGTGTTCCGTTTTATTAAAATCATTCTTATCGGCGTGCGGCGATCCTAACGTCTAACGTCTTTACGTTAGACACTTCGATACTCTTCACAAATCACTGTCAGAGAGGAAAAACAAGCGCGGCTTATTTTATTTTCTACCTTCTTGGCGTTCTTAGCGCTTGAATGCGCTGCATTATGACTGAAAAGTGAAGACATTTGTGTCTTTCATGACAATGGGGCATAAACCAACGGATATTGTATCGTCAGCTGTTTATTTTATTGTAAAAATATTTATTTTTGGTAAATTTACACTAAAAACCTTTAAAAAACGTTGAAAAATATAGATTTTTAAGGTTTTTATGTGTTTTTACGCATATTTTGTGTTATTTGAGTGTGTAAAGTGGTATTTTTCGCACATGGCGACCATTTTGTGTAAAAATTTACGAAATCCAATTGGATTTAGCATTAAAATCTCCAAAAACAAAATATTAGCAATAAGTAATGAATTTTAACGTGGAAAACGAAAATAAATGCGGTAGTGAGTGCATAAAGTAGGTTTTTATCGCCGGTAGAAAGAGAAATGATGTATATTTCAGCGTGTGCAAACGAAAGTGAAGTTGTAAGCGCACGGCGAAAACGCTGAAAACGCATTGGTCGGTGTGGTTCGCATGGCGAAGGATCCGCGCGCCGTGCACACACACGTGGTGAGCGTGCCGCCGGCGGCGAGCGCGCGAGAGAGCTTTTACGGAAGCACCGGAGGGACACGATTGCAACCGATTTCAATGCATTCTCTGATTGGTGCAAAGCGCGGCAGATGCGAAGCGCTAACACCGAAAGCTGCAAAGAATTGGTGCGAGTACGAATGGTCGGGCATCGTGCGTACGAGCGCGTCAGTCGTCCTTTGAGCCGAAGCGTGCGTGTTTTGGAGAGTGCTGTGCGTGTGCGTGGCTTTTCGGTGTTGTGTTTTTCCCTCGGAGAACAGGAACTATATTATAATTCGTGCAACTAGAAAGCATTTTTCAAAACTCCACACAACAAACTCACATGGTTAGTAAACCTGCATATAAAAAATTTGATTTTTAACGCGCTCAAAACGTGCCAGGATTATTTGCGTCACAAACAAACAAAGGAAACTGTGTTTATTTATCGTAATTTTACATAAAACAACAAATTTTATCATTATTTACACGTGTTTTGTTTAAATTTAGCTAAAATTTAATGTTTTGTGTGATTTATTAGAAAAGTTTTTAATAATCTGTACGTTTGGTTGCATAAATTTCCGAAATTTTTGATTGCTATTGTTTTGTTTTTTGTATTTCGTGGCGAATTTATCGCATTTTTGTGCGCGTAGATAGAAATTTGTTATTGTTTGGTGGTTGATTCATGTGCGTTTCCCCGTGGCTGCAAGTTTCGCGTTGTTTGCCACCGCCACCGCCACCACCGGTGACTCAGTCCTGCTCTGATCGACCGAGGGAGCAGGAGGAGCGCACGCGTCATAACGACCGTGACCCGTTATACTACACACCACGCACGTTCGCGAATATTCATCCCCCAACACAGAAAATCACCACGCTCACAAATATTAACACATCTCTCATTCTGTTGCAGATATTTTTCTATTCAAACTTAGCTTACAATAAACAAAACTACCTACAACCAAAAAAAAAAAGATAAAAATAAAAACGACGCCAATTACAATATTTTTATACTACGTACAAAGTACAAATATCTGTCAGAGTACAAACAAGGCTGAAATAATCTTCCTCAACGTAATATTTAGTCAAAAGAAAAAAGAAGCAGTCACACAACAGATCTCAGCGATTTAAATCAGGACATCGTATTTTTATGCAAGTCACGAGCATAATGACAATAAGTTATAAGCAGTTTTAAGCGATTTTTTTGTAATTGCGACGAAGAAAACAATTGCAATGAACGTGCGATGACAGAATGAGCGATACCCTCAGCCGGGACCCGGAGACGCAGAGCTCTGGGTACGCCCTGGCTCCTAGTTATCCAGCGACATCCACATCGGACGCGTCTGCCGCCTCCCACCTGCCTCCATTTTCCACATTCGCCGTTGAAATGGACGCCAGCACCGGCTTCAACTTCACCGAACGCGTCATGGAGATCCCACATTGGGATTACTACCATGAAACACGTCTCCTAGACCGCATAGAGAATGGGATCATCGTGTCCCAAGCCCAGTACAGACCCTGGGAGTCCAAGGATGCTGATGCGTTCGCGGCGGCGCAGAACAGCATCTCGAAATTGCCATCATTTCAATCACAGTTTCATGCTTTTAATGATCCGGTCACTACGAGTGGTAGTGATCAACCGACGCTGACGACGCTCACGCCCGTCTCGCCGAGCGTATCTAGTCCAAATTTAACAACGCTCGGTACAGTTGGTGCCAACTTTCATACCCTCAACGCTAGGAATTACCCGTTGGTACCAGCGCCGATACAAGCACGTGAGATACCTTCGATTCAACAACAGTTCCTGGATGAACGACATATTCAACTCTATACTCATCCAGCGCAGTTCCAACCACAAAACGGCACGATTATTCAGAATATCAGTGCTCCTACAGTGGTGCACGTGGTGAAAACAGAGCCGGATCTACGTTTAACTCTACACCCCGAGCAGAATTTGAAGCTGCAGAATATCACGCTGCATCCGACGCAGTTTCAGAATCCCATGTCGACGATTATTGATAATTCCGGTGGGATTTATAATGGGTTGGATAAGAAGATCAATGGGATCAATGCGGGTTTAATCAGTTCGCCGACAAGAAGTGATTTTAGGAAGAAGGAGCGTAGGAAAATCCGCGCGTCCAGTTTGGAGAGCTCGGCGGAGAGTGATGGCGCCTCGAGTAATATGGAGATTGGGAATGAGAATTCCGGGCAGGTGGCGGCGGTTTCCAGTACGGCTGGGTTTAAGCATCATTCGATGAGTATGAATTCTATGGATATGGATGATATGAACGGTGGGATGGCCGATAAACAGGTGAAGAAGAAGCGGAAACGATGCGGGGAATGTATTGGATGTCAGCGCAAGGATAACTGTGGTGATTGTGCGCCATGCCGGAATGATAAGAGTCATCAGATCTGCAAGCAGCGAAGGTGTGAGAAGCTCACCGAGAAGAAGGTAAGCGAATGTTTTATTTTAATTTATTTTGAAAAAATATTTTGCAAATATTGAGGTTTTATTAGGAGAGACATCTGTCGGAGGTGTTTGTAACTAAATTTTTAAGGTTATTTCTTGGGATTTTAGATATTTTTGAATGTTTTTGGTGTTTTTGAGGGGATTTTTATGAGTTTTGACGGAAAAATCTATAAAATGCTAAGAAAAACGTTGTTTTCTTTGGTATATTTCGGTTTTTGGGCTAAATTTACTGCATTTTTGACGAAATCGGTGCAAATTTGGTATTTTTTCTATAATTCTGGTAGCTAGAAATATCTATCTAATGTTTTTAAAGATTTTTGGCATTTTTGGAAGGATTTTAATCAGTTTTCACGAAAAAATCTATAAAATATTTAGAAAAACGTTGTTTTCTTTGGTAATTTTCAGTTTTTGGGCTAAATTTACAGCATTTTTGAAGAAACCGATGCAAATTTGGTATTTTAAATTCTGGTAGCTAGAAACATTTATCCAATGTTTTCAAAGATTTTTGGTATTTTTGGAAGGATTTTAATCTGTTTTAATGGAAAAATCCATGAAATACAAGCAAAAACATTATTTTCTTTAGTAAATTTCAGTTTTTGTACTAAATTTATTGCATCTTTGGAGAAAACCATGAAAATTTATCTTTTTACATCAATTTCTCGCAGTTAAAAAGACTTTTAACAAGTTTTACTGCAAGAATTATTGCAAAATGTACTCTAACCTCTTTAAAACGAGTTTATAAAGATGTCGTTACATCGAGGAACAAAATATAACCAAATATTGAGATTTTACGCGGATAGGCAACTGTTTAATCATTTGTTGCGCTGGTTATAAACTCAATTACTCTTGAAAAAATGCCAGTAAATATTTCCTGAAGTGTAAATATGAATTCCGCGTCGTTCAGTTGTATTCACTTGTGTTATATTTAAATAATTTTGTAGTAACGCAACGTGCACCCCAACAAATTAGCTGAAAAATCGTGCTTAAGTTATAGAAATTTGCATTGCAATTTGTAGGGATGTTGGGTTGCATAACCACAACAATATTACAAATTTTACCATCGATGTCATGTCTTTAAAAATATTCTACCTCATAATTGCAAGAAATGAAAATATTTTCCATCGTTACACACAGAAAATTAATACAAACCAACCAAGTTGTACGAGTACTCATTTCGCCGTTATACGAGTACTCATACATACTACTCGCACACTGTTGATGTTTATGAGAAAATGGCGGATATAGCGATGCATTCAAGATGCACCCATGAAGTCTAGCCCGTAGCTCCACACAAGCTCTCCCCTTGTGAATGTGAAATGTGAATGCGAACCTACCCTAAACGCGTACGATATGGACCGACCCAATTTTACTCCGATACGCGACGCGTTCACAAAATCGAGCATAAAAACACACGCAACATAAACCAAAATTTTGTTTTTACCAATGTTTTAATTAAAACGTCGACGCAGATGGCACCCGAACCACCGAAAAACCGAAAATTTTTCATATTTATCACCGCGGCCATTTTGCCAAACTTGTTTACCGGTTAAAGGTTAAAATCTGTTCATTTTCGTTGTCGAAATGAAAATTCCCACCGAATTAATTTAAAAATTTTGAATTAATTGAAAAACTGGTTCGCGAGATGAAAAACACGCAGTGCATAATATTCTTCTTCATTGAATAAGTTTTATGCTTCCATTGAGCATCTGTCGAGTCACGTTGCATGTTAAATGCATTTCATTTGTTGCACTTTATTTACGTATGTAGATTTCCTCACCCTTTGCACATATAAAATATTTTTATTAATATAAAATAAAATCACAAACAAGTTATGCATATTTTTTTATTTTGGCGAAAATATGAAAATGAATTCAATGCGAATGAAAAAATAAGTAAAAGTTATTTGATGTGTGTGTGTGTGTGTAACCGAAAACGAGTATAAAACATATGCCATAAATATGGCGATGGCGATGTTGGATGTGCCAGGTATATGACCGAGTCAAACAGCTGCATTTGGAGAATAAACTTTTGCCAGCTGTTTATAGTCGCCCATTGATGCGGTCGTCATTCGGTTTCGGTTGTAGCCATTGTATTCACTCACACAGGCAGGGATAATACACACATGGACATTTGTCGCGCACATTAGTTTTTAGTAGTATGCTCGTGCCTGTATAGTAGTTCTACCTCACCACCGGGTGCTGCGTCACATTTATGTGTTTGTTGTGTGTGTGTGTGATTCGCAGCTACGAATGCGAGTTGGAAAAATGAAGTCGGGGAAAGACGCAGAAATCGTTTGGACGATTGCGCTCTATGCGGACATAATAGCGAAACGCATTTTAAAGAACAAACAGCGAATGCATCGGATGACGGATCCGAGGAATAAAATATTACGTATTCGGGTAATTTATTGTAACGGTCAAACTTAACTTGTTTTATTGGAAATGCGGTGTGAAATGTGAAGTTTTTGGTAAATTGCTTGTAATTATTTAAGTATAAGGGATTATTATTTGGAAAATAGCAGAGGATATGGATATTCTAATTGGCAAAGGGTTTTTTAAAGAATTTTTAAAATATTAATTTTTTTCGGTAAATTTTGGACATTTTTAATGATTTTTTCAAAAAATTAGGAAATTGATATCAAAAAAGCACGTTTTAAGTAAAAAATATAAAATATTTGATCAAAAAGTCATTAAATATTTAATATTGCATTAAATTTTATCAAAATATTTGAGATTAGACTTTTATATACAGAGTAATCAATAAAATTGTAAAAAAATAACATTTTTTCAATAAGAGCACGTCTCAAGCAATAAATAATTATTTGTTTAAAATAATTTTAATAGAATAGATGCATAATTTAATTCTGGAGCTATTAGTGAAAGAATTATTCTTTTATCTCTTATAGTTTTTGAATTATTTATAATAATTTGTTTAAAAACGTGAAGTAATTGGTTTGCATACAGAAATTAGACAATATCAAAATATTTTAAAGAAAATCAACGATTATAGCTAAACGGAAAGAGATACAAGGATAATTTAAACCACAATCTATCAAGAATTTAATTTTACATCATATTTTGCCTAAATATTAAAGATTCAACTTGTATATACAGAGTAATCAAGAAAAATATTTAAAAAAAAATCACATTTTTTGATTAATTTTTGATTTTAATCGGCGATAACTTTTTAACTAAAAGAGATGGAAACGTCATTTTTGCTTTGAACGATAGACAATAAAATAAACTATAACAAAAGTTATAAAAATCATCTCCAACCATTCAGATGTATCCATAAAACGCTGAAATCTAAATTAATTATGAGTCGTTTACCGCAGATGTGACACTCTGAATGAACATGATTGTCGGATAAATTTCAGTGTCCCATCAAGGTGTTTAATATCACAATATCACAATATCCACATGTGTAGGTAAACATTCAACATCGCGTGCTATTACAGCTGTAGATATTGGTACAATAGCCATGATCAAATAATAAATAAGAAATGATTTGCTTTAAATTCGAGCACACGCTGCCTGCATTGGCGCTTGCTTGCCTTAAGTTTGGCAACATTTGACATTTGCGTTCGGTTCGGCCATCGCTATCGCAGGATTGATTTTTTCGTGCGTGTGCAGACACAGGGCTGGCACGGCGCTGGCAGGCATTGGTGGTGGTGGTGCACGCCGGGGTGTCGCATGAGTCATCATTGCACTCGGATTCTTATCGATCCGCGTGGTGTGTGCGTAGGTTAGTGAAGCTCGCTTTTCCTCTTCGCAGCCGCCACTAAGGAAGGAATCATAATGGCCGCTCGAAAATCAAATCTTTGATAGACTAGCGTTTGAAGCATCTTTTTAACACTTTCTGGGATGATGTTATCGTTAATTTGCTTATAAAATATTTTTATCTTTTGTTTTTAAGTAAATTATTATGAATAATTCATAAACTATAAGAGATATAAGGATAATTCTTTTACTAATCGATTTAGAATTAAATTATACATCTCTTTGGGAAAAATTCAATTCAAATATATTATTATTAATTGTTTTAAATTAGTTTTTAGTGAAAAATTGCAATTTTTTACATTTTTCTTGTTTACTCTGTATATAATGGTTTTATCTTTGATATTTTCATCAAATATGATGTAGAATTAATCTCTTGATAAATTGTCGTTTAAATTATTGCTCTACCTCTTTCCGTTTAGCTATAATCGTTAATTTTCTTTAAAATATTTTGATAGTAATTAATTTCCGTATGCAAACCAACCACTTCACGTTTTTAAACAAATAATTATGAATAATTCATAAACTATAAGAGATAAAAGAATAATTCTTTCACTAATAGATTAAGAATTAAATTATTCATCCACACTATCAAAATTGCATTAAAAAACAATTATTTATTGCTTAAAACGCGTTTTTAGTGCAAAAATGCATTTTGTTACAATTTTCTTGATTACTCTGTATATAAAAGCTCAATTTCTAATATTTTTACAAAATATCATGTAAAATTAATTTCTTGATAACCTGTCGTTAAAATTATCCCTGTACCTCTTTCCGCTTTGGTATAATCGTTGATTTTCTGTAAAATATTTCTAATTTGACTAATTTCCAAATGCAAACTAACAGCTTCACGTTTTTAAACAAATTATTATGAATAATTCAGAAACTATAACAGATAGAAACATAATTCTTTCACTAGTAGATTCAGAATTAAATTATTCATCTATACTATAAAAATTGCATCAAACAAATAATTATTTATTGCTTAAAACGTGTTTTTAGTGCAAAAATGCATTTTTTACAATTTCCTGGATTACTCTGTATATAAAAGTCTAACAACTAATATTTTAACGAAATATGGTGTAAAATTACTTTCTTGATAGATTTTCGTTTAAATTATCTCCCTATCTCTTTCCGTTTTGGTATAATCGTTGATTTTCTCTAAAATATTTCTAATTTGACTAATTTCCGAATGCAAACTAACAG